AGAGTGCTGTATGAATGTGTGTAGTAGAGTGCTGTATGAATGTGTGTGTGTAGTATAGTGTTGTATTAATGAGTGTGTGGGGGTAAATGTGGTTCACAGATTGTGTTGTAAAGAGCTTTGAGTATATTGATTAGATTGAAAGGAGCTGTATCAGTACAGTCCATTTACCATTAACTTCTTCCCTCTCCTTTTTGTCATGTTAGTTACTCAAAAAGTGGAGCTTTTCTTTTCCACTTTTTATCTTATGTAGGTGTTTCTTTATCTTTGTGTTTCTATATATTTTTTGGAATGGGGGAGTGGTGGCGCAGATGTTAGAGATGGCAAGCATGTGAGCAGAAGTTCCCGGTTTGACTCCCCATACCGACACCATCCACATGCGTGTGGGAAAGGTAAAGCACCCACAACTGCTTCCTCCCTCATTTGCTCCCCTCTGGGCACTGAGCAAGGCCCTTAACACCCCCATGTGCTCCCCTGGGCACCCTGTAGCAGCTCTCTGCTTCACACAAAGGGCTGTGGTAGCTCAGTGGTTTGTGGTTCTCATGGCCTCAGACAATGGACTTGTGTCTATACTGGTCCTGTTAGACCTCAGTGCTGCATTTGATACAGTTGATCACATTTTACTACAGAGGCTTGAATATGATATTGGGATTACAGGAACAGCTCTAAAATGGTTTAAATCATATCTATCTGATAGAGTCCAGTTTGTAAATGTAAATAATAAATCTTCTTCATACACCAAAGTTAGTCATGGAGTTCCTCAGGGCTCAGTGCTTGGGCCAACACTCTTTACTTTATATATGCTTCCATTAGGTAAAGTTATTAAACAGCATGGGATAAATTTTCATTGTTATGTTGATGACACAATTATATTTGTCCATTAAACCCAATCAGCTACTTAGACTACAATAATGTCTTAAAGACATAAAAACCTGGATAACCCTTAATTTTCTCCTGTTGAACACGGACAAGACTGAGGTTTTGGTTTTTGGATCTGAGCACCTTAGGAATGAATTTTTCAGTCTTTCGCCCTCTTTAGTTGGCATTAATCTGTCCTCCAGCGCTAATGTTAAAAATCTTGGTGTTATTTATGATCAGGACATGTCTTTTATCCATCCATCCATCCATCCATTATCTTTACCCGCTTATTCCATTTTGGCTAACGGGGTTCGCTGGTGCCCATGTCCAGCAATCACTGTGCGAGGGGCGGGGTACACCCTGGACAGGTCGCAAGTCCATCACAGGGCCACATAGAGACAAACGAGACAAACAACCATTCACTCTCTCACTCACACCTAGGGACAATTTAGAGTTACCAATCAGCCTAACATGCATGTTTTTGGACTGTGGGAGGAAACCGGAGCACCCGGAGAAAACCCACGCATGCACGGAGAGAACATGCAAACTCAACCCAGAAAGGCCCCTGGACCGGGGTTTGAACCAAGGACCTGCTCGCTGAGAGGCAGCAGCTCTACCAGTTGCGCCACCGTGCTGCCATGTCTTTTATTCCCCACATTAAAAACATTACTAGAACTGCCTTCTTCCACCTGCATAATATCGCTAAAATTAGAAACATCTCATCTAAAAATGATGCTGAAAAACTGGTCCATGCATTTGTCACGTCTAGACTGGACTATTGCAATGGTTTATTATCTGGATGTCCAAATACGTCTTTAAAACGTCTTCAGTAGATCTAAAATGCTGCTGCCAGTGTCTTAACCGGAGTTAGTAGGAGAGATCATATTTCTCCAGTTTTAGTTTCTCTTCATTGGCTCCCTGTCAAATCCAGAATATAATTCAAAATCTTACTTCTAACCTACAAAGCTCTCAACAACCTGGCTCCATCTTATATTACAGATCTTATTGTTCCATATTTTCCTAACAGACCATTTTGCTTTCGGACTGCAGGTTTACTTGTGGTTCCTAGAATTTACTAAAACAGAATGGGAGGCAGATCCTTCAGTTATCAGGCTCCTCAATTGTGGAACCAACTTCCAATCTCTGTCCGTGAGGCTGAAACATTATCCAGTTTTAAAACTAGGCTTAAGACTTTCCTTTTTGCTAAATCCTATAGTTAGGGTCGGCTTGGGTTTCCTGAGCTGTCCCTTAATTATGCTGTTATAGGCTTAGACTGCCGAAGAACAAACTGAACACACTTTTCACTCTGCTTCTGTCTTTACTTACTCTGCTCAACCTGTTTTGTATTTGTAATTATTTTTTCTATCCTTAACATGTGTTTTTTGGTCTTTCAGATACACCTGGACCTATACCTGGACCTACCATTCTATGTTCGTCTGTCTCTCCTTCCTGTCCTCTCAACCAGCCGGTCAAAGCAGATGGCCGCTTGTCCTGAGCCTGGTTCTGCTGGAGGTTTCTTCCTTTTAAAAGGGAGTTTTTCCTTTCCACTGTTGCCACTGTGCTTGCTCAGGATGGGAGACTGCAACGAAGCCAAGATTCAACTTGTCTGCTGGATTCCTTAGAACTTTACTAATTGGCTTTTATGTATGTGAATGTTTCTGTAAAGTACCCTGAGACAACTTTGTTGTGATTTGGCGCTATATAAATAAACTGAATTGAATTGGTTGTGTCCAGAAGGGCATCCGGTGTAAAAACAAGGGGACTTGGCAATCCCCACTTAAGACCCCTGAGGAAGGGAGCAGCCAATATATATATATATGTATATATATATATATATATATATATATATATAT